GTTAAAATACCAAACGAGGTAAAATATTTAAACTTGCTTTGTGAATTGCAAAGTCCAATGTAAACAATTATTACACATTTTATTTACTATGTAAATAAATGTGTATGTATTTATTTTTGAGTAGTGAAGGTATGTGCCACATAACACGTGTGAAGGTCAGGAAACATTATGGTCAGTTCTCTCCTTCTAGCACATGGGTCCTAGAGGTCAAGCTAAAGTGGTCAGCTCCCTACCTGCCGAGGCGTTTCACCAGCCCTAGGTGTCATTCTTAAAAATAATAATGTTGAATATGGTACTCTAAGCCATGGCTAAGGAGGTCCCAGGCCACTGGAGCATACACTACTGTTTTGCTAAATGGTTGTGCTGTCAAAATGCCTTCTGAATATTTAAGTCTGTAAGACTATTCTTTGAGGGATCATTTCTAGGTCATTTCTATAGTTTGTCACTAGAGCAGTTTCTCTGTGTAGAACACTCAAGACCACAAGGACATGACACAGCGTTACCTCCTGAGTGTGAAGGTAGCGGCTCTAGGCGCTGCTCTGTTGCACCTCCTCCTCTTCCTTTGGGTGAGGAAGAGAATACAGTCTGGGTGGAGGAAGAAAAGGTGTTTTTATGCATGTAGCCCAGACCAGTGCTGCTCTCAACCTTCTATATGCCAGGGTACAGAGTGTAAGAGATTATAGAGGGCTCAGTCCAAGAGGAATGAACATCTATCGGTAGCACACCAACCCTCCCAAAGCTCATGGACCATTACAAAAGAGGGGATGTAAAGAGCCTAGGAGCTAGGATGAGGATGACAAGATTATCGTCTAGACAGCAGGGCAGCTGCACATATGAACTCCATGTTTTGACAGCACACACGAGACTTGTACAAGCCCCAGCCACCATCCCAGCATGGAGATGAGTTAGCTTCAAATCCTATCCGCAGACATGGAGCTACTGGCAACTGTTAGGTGCTGGGAGAGGAAGAGGCAGTTTTGTGTAAGACTGTATCCCCTGAGAAGTCAACCAGGCCCTAGTGAAGAACACACACACAAAATTATTAGGAAGCACAAACAGGTCTTGATGGGTTTTTAAAAAAAGACACAAAGTTGGGTGGGTTGGATGGGTAGGCAGGGGTGGACCTGAGAAGTCGGAGGAGGCATGAACATGATCAAAACATGTACAAAACTCTCGGGGGCCGGAGAGATGGCTCAGAGGCTAAGAGCACTGACTGCTTCTTCCAGAGGTCGAGTTCAGTTTCCAGCAACCACATGGTGGCTCACAGACATTTAATGAGATCTGGTGCCCTCTTCTGGCCTGCAGGAACACATCACATGCAGACTGTATACATACTAAATAAAAGTATCTTTATTTTAAAAGAGACAGGCTGGGAAGAGAGCTCAGTGGTTAAGAGTATTTGTTCTTGCAGAGGACCAAGGTTTGAGTCCCAGCACCCACATGGCATCCAATCATCTGTAACCCCAGTTGTAGGGGATCTTGACACCCTCTTCTGACCTCTGTGGGGGCCAGGCATGCACGTGGTACAGACATACACACCCAAGCAAAACACTCCTACACATATCTAATGTCTACTGTTCCTGTAGAAGAAGGGTTCAGTCCCTAGCACCATGTCTGGCAGCTCACAATCCCTGGATACCTGTTCTCATATGCAATACCCACATACAAATGTACACATACACATAACTAAAGATAACAAAAATTTTAAAAAGGCACATGAATTATATAAGAGGATATAAAGTTAACTGTTTTTCTAGTTCTAGCTCTGTCACAGGTCTTTTATTTGGGTGGTGGATAAGAGTATAAAATATATTCAAGCCAGGCAGTGGGGGTGCATGCCTTTGATCCCAGCACTCGGAGGCAGGTGGATCTCTGAGTTTTAGGTCAGCCTGCAAAGCGAGTTCTAGGACAGCCAAGGCTGTTACACAGAGGAAACCCATTTCAAGTGGGGGGCACTGGGCAGGTATCTGTAGGAGTTCAAGGCCAGTCTAGTCTACACAGTGAGTTCCAAGACTGTGAGACAATGTTAAAAAAAAAAAAAAAGGAAAAAAATATTCAATACTGAAAGTGTAAGCTTAATGTGAAATTCCACAGCTTCTGGAGAGGTTGTGGGGAAAGCGAACACTTCTACATTGCTGGTGGGAATGCAAGCTGGTACAGTCCCTTTGAATGTCAGTGTGGCGATTTCTCAGAAAATTAGGAAACAACCTTCCTCAAGACCCAGTAATACCACTTAGGGGTATATATCCAAAGGATGCTCAACCGTGCCACAAGGACATGTGCTCAACTATGTTCATAGCAGCTTTTTTTTGTCATAGCCAGAACCTGGAAACAACCTAAATGCCCCCCGACCAAAGAATGGATAAGGAAAATGTGGTACATTTACACAATGGAGTACTACACAGCAGAAAAAAAATAACAGCTTAAATTTTACAGGAAAATGAAAGGAGCTAAAAAACATTACTTTGAGTGAGGTAACCCAGACAAAGAAAGACGATTATCACATGAACTCACTCATAGGTGATTTTTAAACATAAAGTCAAAAAAAAAAAAAAAAAGGCAGCCTACAAACCACAATTCCAGAGAACTTAGACAACAATGAGGACACTAAGAGAGACTTACATAGATCTAATCTACATGGGAAGTAGAAAAAGACAAGATCTCCTGAGTAAATTGGGAGCATGGGGACCTTGGGGGAGGGTTGGAAAGGAGAGGGGAGAGTCAGGGAGGGGAGCAGAGAAAAATGTAGAGCTCAATAAAAATCAACAATAAAATAAAATAAAATACCACAGCTTCCACTCCAAATGCTAACTCTAACTGTACAGAAGTTTATTAAACTGTAGAGACATTAGATCTGGTTTGTTTTTATTTATTTGTGAGGGTCTTTTATCTTCTTTTGAGTTTTTTAGGGGGGAGGGGTTTGTTGCTATTTTTTGTTTGTTTTTTTTTGGTTTTAGTGTTTTTATTTTTTCAAGACAGGGTTTCTCTGTGAAGCCCTGGGTTTTAGTATAGTAATATTTTTTAAATGTGGATACCATTTCTGGACTCCATATACATGTGCACATATTCACACAACATACACCCACACAAGCACATACATGTGTACATAGCCATACAACACACACCCACACATGCATGTGCACATATCTACACAACATACACCCACAAGAACACATACACACACACAAAGAGGCATCAGAAGCAGACTAAAAGATAGGCCCTACCAATGCCAGCTGCTTCGCTATACTATAATATACTTTTAGATGTTTTCCCTGGAAGACCAGAAAGACTAGAAGGGACCTCTGAACTATTTTCACAACTTCTTACAGTCTGTACTTAAGAAGAAAAAAAAAAGCTTTAGAAAAATCAAATTTAAGATATTGTCAGAAAACACTGTAAGCACTGTCAAAGGAAACAACAGCTACCAAGCAGATGGGCTCAGAAGTGGGATGGCATCAGCCCATGGCTGCACAAGTTCCTACAGGCCATGGGCTGGTTCCAAACCATGATCAATCAGCCCTGAGATCTGTAGCTGTGATTAGGAAAGAGTACCAAGTTGACAGGAGTCTAATTTGGTTACACTGATCATAAATCTTCAGTTATCTCAGAGCGCCTCATAAAAATCACCTACAGGCCACACACTCCTGTAATTGCTTCCTACACAGCACAGAACTGTACAGTGTTAATTAGTTTATCAAACTGTATCCACTACGGCACGTGTGTCTACTTCCTTCACAAACCATGACTTGCGACACGAAATGCATCAGAGACCAGGAAACCGAGGCATGAGGATCAGAGTTCCAGGGCAGCCTGTGCTAAGTGGGTGTGTGCCTTGAACTCTGCCCCACATTTTGTTCAGCTCATGGTAATCACCAAAAGCTGAGTCATGGCAACTTCTTAGCAGAGTCAGAGACAAATCAGTAGCCACTTTCTTGAGGCTGGGGGGTAGTTTTCCTTTCTGACTCAGAATATTCAAGGAATCTCAGATTTGTTATTTGCATGTGTGTGTAACAAAGTTCCTCCAATGCAGGAATTTAATCCATAAAGATTGCTATGGTCACTTGGTTTTATTTGTCACCTAAGACATTATAACTCAGTGTGATTTACAATAAGCTCCTAAGTGGGGAAAGTCAGTGTGAACTGATGAACGGATCAGCTGTGACGTGAAAACCCATCAGTGTTCTCTGTCAATGGGCAGTATGGCATGCATCTTTAATTCCAACACTCAGGAGGCACAGGCTGGTGAATCTGAGTTCAAGGCCAGCCTGGTCTAGAGAGCAAGGCTCCGGGACAGCCAGAGTTACACAGAGAAACCCTATCTTGAAAAACCAATAAAATAAAGGAGAATATTCTCTGTATCAAGCAGCAGTAGTAAAGCATGTTTCCAGGCAGTTACCCACAGCAGCGCTTTGGGAGTCTGCGGCACTGGAGCAAAGCTCATGGTGGGGACGCTATGTTTTACAGCTCTTGGGGACGTTTATTAACATACATTTCCTTCACCAGGCATGAGGACACACTCTGGAGGCAAAGGCAGGTGGATCTTTGTGAGTTTGAGGTCAGCCTGGTCTATCCTGGAGTTCCAGGACAGCCAGGGCTACGTAGAAAACAGTCTTGAAAAAATCAAAACCAAAACAAAAATCAAACAACAATTTCCTTGAAATAAATATTGTAAAAGGCACCACCTGAAGCAGTAAGAGGACAAAAGCAGCTACACCTGTTGTAAGGAGGCGCGGCGGGCTGCATACCACCACCCGGCTAGATTAACTCCCCACCCCCCGAAATAACCACACACAAATTGTATTCATTTAAACACTGCCTGGCCCATTAGCTCTAGCCTCTTATTGGCTAACTCTCACATCTTGATTCAACCCATTTCTAATAATCTGCATGTCATGACGAGCTCGTGGCTTACCAGGAAAGATTCAGCATGTCTGACCTGGCAGCTTCATGGCAGGCGGCTCTCTGTCTCTGCCTCCTTTCTCCCAGCATTCTGTTCTGTCTACTCTGCCTATCTAAGTTTTGCCCTATCAAAAGGCCAAAGCAGTTTTCTTTATTCAACCAGTGAAAGCAACACATAGAAAGGAGACCCTCCTACACCACACCCAGAGGTCAACTAGGCCGTCTTAATAAATGATGGGGCTCAAGACCCCAGAGCCACCAAGGACTCCTCAGGGTCAGTCATCTCAACAGGCTCAGAAGCCAGTTTAATCTGCAGAACCTCGGCAAAGCCATGGCCAAACCAGCATGTGACATGAGCTGTGTCAACAGTGAAGAAGAAAAGGCGGTCCTGGCAGAGCTTTCGCCGGTATACGGACCGGGGGTCTGCCGACAGCACGGCCTCGATGGCACACCTGGCTTCCTCTGCAGACTGGAAGTATTTAAATGACATCTGACCGGCATCTGCAACGAGAAACACGCAAGCTTGTGCTTAGAATCGTGTAGGTCAAACCTAGAGACAGTGAGTTTCAGCATGAAATGTGGTAGCTCTGCATGTCACATAAAAGGAACAGGGTCTGGAAACATTCATTTTAGAGACTTGCACCTCCAAAATGTCTCTCCTACTGAACAAAATAGTCAGGGTATATTCTCTACAAGTCTCCAAACCAGGAGGGGCAAGCTTTCATTTCTGTCCACTAAATACCATTCTATGTTCAATCAATAACTCTTGTCATTTTCCCAGTGGAAGAGACACTGTCAAGGAAACAAGTAGCATCCAGTGTCCTCAAAGCTGCCCACCACCCACCCCAGACACCTTTAATCCCAGCACTTGAGAGGCAGAGGCAGGCAGATCTAGATAGTAAACACCAGGCCATTTAGTACAGAGGGAAAGAGGGAAGGAGGGAGGGCAGAAAAACTTGGCATCCAAACCCCACTGCTAGAAGCGATGCAGATGGAGAGTCCAGGACAAAACTTCAAAGGGCAAAGGACAAAACCCATTAGAAGCCCAGCACCCTCACAGAGGCCCAGTCATGTATTTCAGGTAAACAGATACTCACTCTTCCAAGGGACAAAACCGCCCACGGGCATAAGTTCTTTAACAAAAATAAAGTATAGATGGGGGCTGGAGAGATGGCCTAGCACTGAGGAGAACCTGATGTGCGGAGGACTCAGAACCACTTCCCAGCACCCATATGGTGGGTGACAACTCCAGGAGATCCAACACCCTCTTCTGACCTCCTTGGGCAACAAGCACACACACACCCATGCAGGCAAAACAATCATATGCATAAAGTAAAATAAGTAATCTACATATGTGGATGTGTATATTTTAGGGAACTGGTGAGAAGGCTCAGTGAGTAAAGGTGTTTGCTGCCAAGCCTGACGACCTCAGTTCAATACCCAGTGGTGGAAAAAAGGCCTGACTCCTGCAAGTTCCTCTGAAATCCACAAAGGCACTATAGTGTGCACAGGTGCAACACATTTGGCTTTTTGAGACAGGGTCACTCTATGTAGCCCTGGCTTGCTTGGAACTCACTATATAGATCAGACTGGCCTCAATTTTACTGAGATCCACTTGACTCTGCCTCCCAAGTACTAGGATAAAAGATTTGTGTCACCATGCCTGGCCAAATGCTTTTTTGTTTTGTTTTTCGTTTGGTTTGCTTGTTTGTTTTGAGACAGGGTTCTCTATGTAACAGCCCTGGCTATCTTGGAGCTCACTCTATAGACCAGGCTAGCCTTGAATTCACAGATTCACCTACCTCTCCCTCCAGAATGCTAGAACTAAAGGCATGTGCCACCACTGCCCTTTGGCCAAATGCTTTTTTAAGTGGCATATAGAACCCATGTGGCCTCAAGCCCTTGCTGTAGCCTCTGGGACCCTCCTCAGTTCACTGTGCTGATGACCTCTCAGGAGCCACACACCCTTCCTCTTGGGGCCGAGCACTGGCTCTCCAGAGGCTGGTTTCCTTCCTCTGGTCAAGTGAACTCACTCCATCTCCTTCATGTCTGCTCTCAATGTGCCCCCCAGCAAGGCCTCCTCCAGCCATGTTTCCACATGCAGCCCTCAGCACTGCCCTCTCTTAGTCATGTCTCAGGCCACCGTTACCTTCCGACAGTATGTGCTTCCGTGTGCTTTGCACAGCAGTGTGCTGACTTCCAATGCCTTGAGCTTACGTCTCTCCACCCATTAGAATGCAAACTCTGTGGAGGCCGGGATTTTCTGACCCCCTTTCCTCACTGATGTTTATCCCACAGGCCAGAACAGTGCTGGAGACGCTCAGTGAACAACTGCACAGTAAACAAGCACATTTCCCTCTTCCCGTGTCCACGCTGGCTAGTTACTGAAAAGTAACACAAGCTGGGCGGTGGTGGTGCATGTCTTTAGTTCCAGCACTCGGGAGGCAGAGACAGGTGGATCTCTGTGAGTTAGAGGCCAGCCTGGTCTACAAGAGTGAGTTCCAGGACAGCCAGGGCTGTTACACAGAGAAACCCTGCCTTGAAAAACAAAACAAAACAAAAAAAGGAAAAGAAAAGTAACACAAGAACAGTTCTCAGCCCTTTGGACATCTGTCATCTCCTTGGAAACCTGTCTTGCTAGCATCTTCCTTCCCACCTCTTAACAGGCACCAGCTTCCTTCACTCTCCATCTGCTATGGACTAGGGAAACCAAACAACACATGCTATGAACCATGTGTTAAATGGGTTCCAAAACAGAGTCCTGTGGCCTTACTTTGGCAAGACACAAAGTATGGCTTACTTTGTGTCCTATGGGGGAAAACACTGGCAGGAGGGTCTTCACCTGACCAAAGAAAACCTCTTTGGCCAGATAAAAAGCAAGCAAGAAACTGAGTGTATCCAAGTATAAACCAAGCACAATCCACCATTTGAATGCTATTAGAAAAGAGAGCAGAAAAAGTAAGCAGAGCAAGGGAGATGGCTCAGTGTTAAGAGCACTTCCTGCTCATACAAAGGAGTTGAATTTGGTTTTTATCACCCATGTCGGGCAGCTCAGAAATGCCTATAACTTCAGCTCCAGGAAATTCAAAGCCCTCCCCTGGTCTTCACCAGTACCTACATGAATACATACCCACAAGACAGACACATATGTGATTAAAATAAATATTGAATAGATAAATGAAAGATAAGGACCACAAGTCATGAGCATCTCCTGAGGCAGCAGCCACTCTCCACAGATGCCTTCTGAGCACCTAGACTGAAAACCAACTAAACAATTGTCAAAGAAAAAGTACCAAGTGATGCCCAAAGTTTATAATCCTGCTCCTTAAAAACCCTGTCACCGGAGCTGGAAAGATGGCTCAACAGTTAAGAGCATTAACAGCTCCAGAGGTCCTGAGTTCAATTTCCAGCAGCCACATGGTGGCTATAATGGGATCTGATGCCCTCTTCTGGCATGCAGGTGTATATGCAGATAGAGAACCATATACACAAATATAATTATATACACATATATACACAAATATAGAGAACCATATACACAAATAAAACTACTTAAAAAGCTGGGCAGCAGTGGCGTAGGCCTTTAATCCCAGCACTTGGAAGGCAGAGGCAGATAAATCTCTGTGAGTTTGAGGCCAGCCTGGTCTACAGAGTGAGTTCCAGGACAGGCTCCAAAGCTACACAGAGAAACCCTGTCTCAAAAAATCAAAGAGTGGGGAGAATATATATATTTAAAAAGGAGTGGGGGCTGAAGAGATGGTTCAGTGGTTAAGAGCACCGACTGTTCTTCCAGAGGACCGAGGTTCATTCCCAGCACCCACATGGTGGTTCACAACTATCGGCAACTCCAGTTCTAGAGGACCTGACACCCTCACACAAACAGACATGCAGGCAAAACACCAATAAATATATAAATAAATATATATTTTAAAAACCCTGTCATGGTGACAAATATTCTATATATATATAACTGCTTTCCCAAGTGTCAATCCTGTCTAGAATCCACTATAAAGAACAGCTCATCCTTTGACTGAGTCTGTAGCTAACATGCACAGGACCTGATCCCCACACAGTAAGAACTGATAGAAAATGAAGGCTGTTCATCTCTCACTCGGGCCGAGGAGACCCCAGGTATGCTGGCTTACCTCCTGAACTGAGCTTCCTCAGGTCCATCTCCGCATGAGGAGTAAACCGGACTTGTAACGATGCTGCAGGGGCCTCCTTCACCCAGGCGGGGACACTGCAGGGCGCTCTGTCAGCTGTCCTGGCCTGGAAGGAAGCCCACTGTGTCTTGGCTCTGTTCCCCTGCAGGACCAAGGCATGGTCTACGTTCCCTGACCTATCCGTGCCTTTGTCCAGAAAGTTCCTCAGATCCTGTGGGCCACGCTGCTCTTCAGTCACATCCGCACCAGCACTTCTGCTTGACTCCAGCGCCACACCCACTGTTCTCTCTCTGTCCCCAGGCAAAGCGTGCCGGGTTTCTGTACCAGCTCTGGGCTTCTGGAAGGTGTCTTCTGGGGTCCTGTCTTCAAGGCATTTCAGTTTCTCCTCGGCACTACGGCAGTGCAGTGCTTTCTCACACCCTGGGAGCAGCCGCTGGTCACAGCTGTCAGATGCAGTCCTAGACTTATGGTGGTTATGCTGCACATTCAAATCCTCCAGAGGCTCCGAGTTCCGTGGTGTGTCATAGTCAGCAATGTAGGGCTTTATGTCTAGAACGGGTGTACCGTGTATCATGTCAATTCCAGACAGGAAAACAGCGCCGCCTGAAGGGGGATAAAGGTCCTCTTAGGTGTTAGTGGACAGTGGTACAGCCAAATGGAGGGCAGGATTATCCCCTCTCTCTCCAAATACCCACTTATTTGCACCTCATTGAGCCCACTTACACTGTTCTGCCTGGAAACCCACGTTTTCACCTGCCAAACTCCAACTCCTCAAGGCTCATACAGAACACACCACTTACAAACCTTCCTGGCTCTTTCCTCTGGGTCTCACAGAGGCATAAGTGTATAAATCTCCACTCAAGCCTTTTCCTACAGAATGGCAATGTCTTACCGACGCCTCTGCGCCTTGACAGTGAGCAGGTCCCTGGAACACATGCTGGGGTTCACTCATCTTTGTATCACTTCTAGGCACAGGCCAATCCTCAGCACCTCACACAACCAACAATGTGTATTTCCACTGTGATGAGGAGACTTTAGGAGGTCTGACATGCTCCCCAACTTGGTGCTCATGTCCTGTGTAACCCCTTCTTTTCTGAGTTCAACTTAATATAAGTCAAAGAACATAGCAAAAGAGTTCTGATACTTTCAATAATGCTTTCCATATAGGACTCCTTGCTGGCCACAGACTCAACCTGACCAACTCTCCCTGCACCCTGGTGAAGTGCACAAGCATGCCGGGAAGGCCAGTACCAAACAGCTATAAGATGCCCTAGCAATGCTGGCAGCCTTCAGACAACACTGGCACAATGCTGGGCCTCGATCCTACCTATGAGGAAATGAACTCTGTAACAACGTCAGTGCAGAGGACCAGCAAAGATAAGCCCATCCCACCGACTCCTGGAAAAACAGCAATGCTTTAACACTTCATCAAAGTATGCTGCCTAAGCAGATACACTTCGGATCAATTTGTTATACAAAATTAGAAAGACATTCATGAGACTCAAAACAGTCAGCAGGACACAAGACCCTATAACTAAATATTAAGACAGGTCTCCGGCTGTCCCACTTGGATAGCTGTTGTCCACTTCCTGCTGCTGGTAGAGTCTCCTATCCTGACTCTTGAACAATGACTGAATGAGAACCAAAACATAGCATGTGTTCAGAACATTGACACTGACCTAAAGAAAAACACATTGCAAGGAGACCCAGAGAGTCAGGTGGTGGTGGCACACGTCTTTAATCCCAGCACTTGGGAAGCAGAGGCAGGTGGATCTCTGTGAGTTCAAGGCCAGCCTGGTCTACAAGAGCTAGTTCCAGGACAGCTAGGGCTGTTAGACAGAGAAACCATGTAGAAAGGAAGGAAGGAAGGAAGGAGGGAAGGAGGGAAGAAGGAAGGGAGGGAGGGAGGGGGGAGGGAGGGAGGGAGAGAGAGAGAGAGAGAGAGAGAAAGAAACCCAAATGTCTGAAACATGCTATGTGCAAGCCTGGACCAGGGTAAAGATGACCCAGGACCATCTAAATGATAGAATTCACAGAGAACGCAAGAGTTCATAGGAAAGTGTCACTCGTCCCTGCGCATGGACATTATTTATTAGGCTTCTCTCTTATCAACTGGCCTTCTGACACAGGAGTGACTGGCTGGCTCATGATCTTTATGACAGGTGTACAAAGAAGCATTCCTGTCTCCACATCGACAGTGTTCATAATTTATTAGTGTTTGCCCATTCACTTTCTGATTTCACCTCCCTCAGCAGAAGCTAAGTGCTGCACGAGCAGGAATTTTTATCTGAGTTAATCATCAATGTACCTCTATCATTTACAAAGCCTGACACAAAGTCAATGGTTAAAAAGATGTGTATGTAGTGTGGTGGCTTGAATGAGAAAGGGCTCCAAAGGCTAATATACTTGAATACTTAGTCTCCAGCTAGTGAGACTGTCGGGAAGGATTAGGAGATGTGTCTTGTTGGAGAAGATGTGTCACTGGGGGTGGGTTTTGAAATTTCCAAAGCCCATGCCTTTCCCAGTCAGTTCTCTCTGCCTTGTGCTCTTGGATGAAGATGGAAGCTCTCAGCTACTGCTCCAGCACCATGCCTGCCTGCTGCCATGCTCCCCACCACAATGGTCATGGACTCCAATCTTCTAAACTGTAAGCCCTGAATAAAAACACTTTCTTTTATAAGTTGCCTTGGTAGCCGGGCAGTGGTGGCACGCATCTTTAATCCTAGCACTCAGGAGGCAGAAACAGGCAGATCACTGTGAGTTTGAGGCCAGCCTGGTCTACAAGAGCTAGTTCCAGGACAGGCTCCAAAATTACAGAGAAACCCTTGAAAAACCAAAAAAAAAAAGTTGCCTTGATCATGGTGTCTTACCAGAGCAATAGGAAAGTAACTAAGACAAGCAGTTTGCATGAATGAACAGAAAATGGTCTAGTGCTGTTGTCCAATTTGGTAAGCCATCTTAAGAAAACGAGGTAGATAAGCAACTGAATTTGCTGGAAAACCTACCAACTATTGAGCACAATTCAGGTGAGCTCAGGTACCAAAAAGAACGAGATAGCTATTCAACCATTTAGTCCAGTGTCCTGCAGAGACTGGAAATCTGCTGTATAAGATCCTCAGCAACAAAGGCTCTGAGGGTCAGAGAGGCAGGCCCCATGCTTCCACCCACTTCAGGAGCAAATCATCAAGATGCGCCTGGAATGGACTCCCTACGCCTATCCACAGGCTGTCAACTTCTGCCCCTCTAACAAAACTCGGCCCGTTATTCAAGAGGGAGAAGCTCTCTGATCTTGAGTGGAAATCAGTCGGTAGAGTGCTCGCCTACTATGCACAAAGCTCAGAAGTTCAAGGTCATTTTCAGCTCTATATGGATTTCAAGGTCAACCTGGGTACAAGAGACCCTGTATCAAAAACAATAACAAAACAGAAACCAGAAGTTCTCTGAAAATGTCTGACTAGGTTATACAGGAGCAGGGTTAAAACCAATCCCGTACTCTACAGTGGCACATCTATAGTCTGATGTGAGGCCCTGTCCTCTCTGTTCCTTGAGGCCAAAACACAGGATGCAAGGAATGTTTACGCTTACCAGCTAAGCTTCCTGCTAAGTTTCGTCCTTGCTTCTGCTACAGCCTGGTACATTAGCCTGAGGGATCTATTTTACTTTAAAATGATAATTTCTCAACCTGCCTGAAAGAAGCTCAAGGTACCAAGGCCCATCTAACCTGTCTGACATTGCCTTGAACCCTCGACCACCTGCCTGGGGAGAAGCTCCCACGGACGCCAGTTTCCCCAGCCCCCTCTGGGTGGGAGGAGTTTTTCTTTACTGGGGCCAAAAGTATTTAACCCTGGATTAAGTTGAATAAATTGGGCATTCTCTTCTTGAGGATGACTTGAACTCTGTATCTGTGTGTGTGCATCTTGTGTTTTAACCCCTAGGACAATATGGAACTCGTGGGAGGTGGGTGGCATGGAACGGCGACCCCCACAGCCTGACAATGCTAAAGCCTGTAATGTAACATCCCATGCCACTAACACATAGCACAGTGAGGGCCTGTACTGTAGCCCAAATGTCTCTTTCCTTCAGGCTACAAAAAAATGACACCACTCTTCTCCTGCTTTCCAGAAATGCATGAACAACTGGGCACTATGCATCACAACTGGAAACAATCAGTAAACTTAAATCATCTTGTATTTCCTACATCCCAGGTCTTAAAAAATGTTATTACTAATCTAATGATTACAAAAATTATGAGTTTTAAAAAATAGCACTGGTTTTTCATAGCAGAATGATAAAAACAAGCTCTGGGTACCTTCTAAGAGCTGATTTTGTAGTGTTTCTAACGCTGACACCCTTTCAATCACCGCACATTCCTAGGTGCCTGAGGGCTCTCAAAAGTGATGTCACAGTGTTGGCACAAACAGCAGCTAACAGTGAATCTAAGCTGATTTAAGGGGTATGACAGAAAAGGGCAAAGGAGCAGTGCGTGAGCAACCTCCCACCTTGCCCACGGTGGCCAGGGTCACTAATGCAGGAGTGAGCAACCTCCTTCCTCACCCAGCGCGGCCAGGGTCACTAACGCAGCAGTGAGCAATCTTCCGCCTTGCCCAGCAGCCAGCATTAGTAGAGTACAATAAGTGAGTTACCTTCCACCTTCTCCAGCTTGGCCAGCGTCAGTCCTATTGCATTAGGGCGATGTGGGCTCCTTGTGGAGAACACTCCAGTCTTTGCCCCATTCAACCTAGGCGGCTGTACTTTTGCCTTGTAGTTCAAATGGCCGTTTTTGTGAAAAACAAACAAAATCCTATTGAAAATAAACCAAGCCACTTGTTTAAAAAGAGGACAAATTATTTTAGTATAATGATTTGAGAAGGGAATAGTTTTTATTAAATTTATCAATCATGAGAAATGAGTCCTCCCTCCATCCTTGGGGGAAGAGAGTCATCTCTCACAAGTTTAGTACTCAACACAAAGACCAGTATACAGCAAGAACTTAACAGACTTGCACATGGCCAAGGGCACGCCACTTCGAAGTGTCTGCTGTTTGCCGTGTATGCTAACATTTTCATAGCCACTTTGAACCATACCAATCCTAGGAAGCATAATTGAGCCCTCACTCTGAGGGAGAAGAAATCGAAGCTCAGAAACATTCAACCTGACGAGGCCTTTCTAAATAGAATAGGAAAGATGTTTGCTATACAGTGGGTTAGCTGATTATTTATAATATATAAATCATTCTTATATAAATGACCAAGTAAAGAACTCAACACAGGACTCAAAGCAAGGAACAACAGCATGCAATTTATACAGGAACCACAAAACAGCTGACACTGAGCCTCCATGCTAGTTAAGGAAACTTAACTAAAAACTTAACTAAACTAAAAACAAAACACTGCACTTCCCTCTCGGGCCAGGTAAACATGGATAAAAACAGAACTAATAAGAGCAAGTAGTATCCAAAATTTTTTGGCTTTCTGTCTTTTAGGGAGGGTAAACTGAATTCTTCAAGGGCCTACAACAGGGCCCACAGACTTATTCTGTGAAACGTCAGACGGCAAATATTTTAGGATTTGAGGTCAATCAGTCATAGTTTCAATTATTCTGCTATCAGAGCAGAGTTTCACAGTGATAGCCACACACAATACATAAACCAACAGGCATGCCAGAGATAGCAGACAGCTTCAAATCACGTTATACACAGGCACAGCTGCGATCCCATAAGCGGATGTACACAGATAAATATGGTCCACAGGTCACAGTTTGGTTGATTCTTACTGTAGAGACCAGCACAAGGACCCATGGGCAGAATCTAGGACATCTATGGCTTCAGTTCAACACAAGGAATCCATCATAATTAGAACAAGCTGTAGTTAAAACATGTTTCTTCAGTGAATCTCAGATTTCTAAAGGTACCCAGATATGCAAACAACCAAAAGCAGAAATTGAGTATGGGAATCCATACATAATCGATAATCATACATATTAGGGTGGTATAAATGGAAGACACCAAAGTTGCGTTCAAATGACTGTGCTTTCTCAGGGCCCAAACTACCACTTCTTAAACAACTTACCAAACATGAGAAAACTGTTCTAGGCCCATCAAGGAATGCTCAGGATTATTAAAGATGCTCTTTCTGATCTTCAAACAGGCTCTGGAGTAGCTACAAATGGATGGCTGCCTTGGAGTACCATTCTTGGCTGAGAAACATGACTCCAAGTAGCCTATTGGCTCAGTTAAAAGATATCCTATGGAAGAAAATTGGGTAAGATCACTCAAAAGAAAAATCTAGGTACAAATACAACTATTAAAAACATGTTTAAGGGCTGGAGAGATGTCTCAGAGGTTAAGAGCACTGACTGTTCTTCCAAAGATCCTGAGTTCAATTCCCAGCAACCACATGGTGTTCTCAACCGTCTGTAATGAGATCTGGGGCCCTCTTCTGATGCTGCAAGCAGAATATTGTACACATAATAAATAAGTAAAACTTTTTTTAAAAAAATGTTTAAATACACAGTCCTGCTATGTAGCTCAGGCCAGCCTTGAACTCATGAACCTCCAGCATCAGTCCCATCTCCCAGCTGCTGAGAAAACAGCTGTGCACAAGCATACCCACCTAAATTTTTATGTGTAATTATATAAATACATGAATTACACTAACATAACAAATGTGTCAATTACATATTGAGGTATAAATTACAATTTACATTTATAATTATTTCTTTGTATGTTCTCTGAAGAGATCTCCATTTTTACCTCATTTGCATTAAATCTATTTTATTAGCACAACCAGGAAGGCTATAAATCTGGGACTGTCTCCCACAAAACTCTATTACTTATACACAGCAAAGATTATATGCAATATGTATGTAAGAAGCATAACACGCCCAGCAGCCACATCAACCACAGTGCTACTTGCATCTCTGCTTGCATGCCTGTGGACTGCTTTCAGGAGCTGTAATCCGATCTTTATCATCATCTGTTTCCTTTCAGAATATGATCTTATCATATGTACTTTTGGGCCTAAACAATACTTCATTTACTCCTAATTCTGTAAAAGCAGACACCACACTGTAAATTAGTTTCCTAGACTGGCTTTCTCTGTCCATCTATATTGTGTATATTTCTGAAAACTTTCAAGTTTCTTCCAAAAGTATTTTCAGGTACTGCTGTATTATTTTCATTTGTTTTTTTTTATTATTGTTTCTAAATTCTCATCCAGGTTCCTGTGTAATAGTATTAAAGACGAAGAAACTGGGACCAAATGACAGCATCAGCCACACACATCCTAACTCTCTGTATCTCCGTAAAGAAAAGAGACCATAAAACACATGGCCAACCCACAGCTACTGTGCTGGGACTAAGGCCAAACCACACCCCGTGTACCAAGAACGTGCTACGTCACTCTCGTTGGCCTTGGCATGTCACGTGATCGTGGTGACACGTGACCCTCACTTTGGCGGCAAGGACATGAAGGCCCGTCAGGCAGTTCGCGTTCTTCTCGGCGAAGAAGCCGGCCGCGGCGCCTCCGAGTCCCTATAATTTACCTGTCTCCAGGGCCGGCTGAGCGCACCCGCACGAGACCGCTGGAGTGCAGGAACCCCTCTCCGCCGAGCCGCGCATGGCCGCAGGCCGCTGAATCGTCCACGCGCCGTGCGCAGCTTTCCGCTTCCGCTTCCGCCCTCTGGGCTTGGGCGCCTGCGCAGTTGTCACTCGGTGCCGGGTCTTGGAGAATGCCGGCAATGGCGGCCCAGTTTCAGCGTGGAGGTCTGCGGTGGACGCAGAGAAGCTGTGCGGGCGGCCCACCTTCTATCCATTATGCGGCATGCAGTGTGCCCCCCGAAGATGGTACACTTGGATAAAGATGTACACGCAAAGATACCCTTGAATTATAAGCGTCCTCCATGACTAAAATATGACCCAGCGTTTTAAAGGGAAATGGTGTGAAAATCTATGACCGCACAGCTAAAGAACTGAAGTTTGGGAGCTTATTTTTCTTCTTTTTTCTTTATTTAAACATTGATGGGGGGGAGCATGTGAAAGTCAGATGACAGCGCAGAAGGCGCTTCTCTCCTTTCACCGCGTGGCTCCGGTGATCAGATTCGGCTCGTCAGTGTTAGCGGGTTCCTTTACCCGCTGCGCCAAAGAACTGGAGGTTAAATAGGGCTGCGGTTTATATTTACCATCCTGCTCCACTTTTTCAGTAATAACTATTTGTCAAGAAAAAAGCTCAAATAAATCAACAGTGCTGCATTTTACAGCCAGCCTAGGCTAGGAGTTAATAAACGGGGACGTTTCGTGGGCTCCAAACCGCAAGAACCAAAATGAGAGTAAAGAGCCAGCACACACATTGGAAAGTTGGGACCGGCAAGAATTGTATTTTAATCTCATGCAATATCCAGTTGTCTCCGTACCAATTGCCAGCGCTTTAACCACTTGTAAGAGTCTTTCAGCCAAACTGTTTCTTTGCATACTTGATTGTGTTTCTGGAATCTCAAAATCTTGGTTTAGAAGGGAGGGGGAGGAAGCAGCGGGAATCCACCTATTACCTGTAACGTAAAATATTAAAAATAGGCAAGTCCGCAGACTAAAGGCTTAACCATGAAAAGCTGTTTCTTCTAAGTTCATTGTCACAGTCACGAGTAGGATATAACTAGTATTAGGAGGCAGGTATTTAAGAGGAAATTGTGGGTTTTAGGAGGAAATTGTGGGTTGTTTTTTTTTTTTAAGTTAAAACTGATACTGTGTCCTCTATCAAGAATCTTGTACATGAAATTTACGAAAGGCTTTTTTCTTTTAGAAGACACTGGTCTTGTCTAGCTGGAGAAACAAGTTTGAGTACCTTCGGGCAACATCTGCACGCTTTTAAAAATGAACCGAATAAAAGCTGCAGTTGCCACTAGTCGGCGCTGTTAATACGAGAGTCAAACTGAACAGTGGAAGGTATTTGTCCTCCAGAAAGACTTGCTAGTCACTTGCTAATCATAACAAAAGTGTGTAATTACCAACTGTGCCAACTACTGAAACTCAAAGTAGACTTAGAGATTTTAAAGGAATCTGCCTTTAAAAACAACCTCAAGGGAGCTGGAGAGATGGCTCAGCAGTTAAAAGGATCTTCCAGAAGATCTAGGTTAGATTTGGAGCACCCATGTGGCAGCTCACAGCAGGCAGTAACTTCACTTCCATGGGATCTGATGCCTCTTCTGGCCTCCACGGGCACCTGCACATATGTACACACACTATATATAGATATAGATATAGATAGATAGATAGATAGATAGATAGATAGATAGATAGATAGATATAGAGAGAGCTGGGAATGGTGGCTTGTGACTTGAATCCCAGCACTGGGGAGGCAGAAGCAGACTAATCTCTGAGTTGGAGGCCAGCCAGGACAACACACACACACAATATTTTTTAAGTCTTCAGATGTAGTTTCAGCGTGCCCAAACTCCTTCCCACCACAAGAAAAGGACAGTACAGAGTGGAGTTCAGGTGGATTCTCGGGGGAATTCTAATTCATGATCTCAAACCTCTAAACCAACAAGAAAACAGGGATAATTTGATTCACACTGGTGTCTGGGTAGAGCTAAGAAAACAGTATAAATTTATAGAGAATGGTGGAAGGAAACAGGACAGGGGGCTGGGGAGATGGCTCAGCTGGTAAAGCACTTCCCATGCATGTAAGGGGCTAGAGTTTGGGTTGCCAGAACCCATGTAGATGCCGGGGAGGTGTAGTGAACTCCTGGAGATAGAGACAAACAATCCCTGGAAGAAGCTGGCTAGCTCAAGCATTAACTCTGGGATCAAGTGAGAGACCTTACCTGAATATACAAAATGGAGAGCACCTGAGGAAGACAAACATCTGGTCTCACATGCATGTCATGCATGGGCACCCATGAACCCACACACTTTCACTAGTACCCAAGAATACATACACTTTTTTTTTTTAAAGCAGATTGGGATGTGGTATGTACAAAGTCCTTGGTTCAAGCCCTAGCACTGCATGAAGCCATGCATGGGACACATGCTTCTGAGGTGAGTTTCTGGCCAGCCTGGACTCTACAAGACCCTGTCTTCAAAAAGACCAATGATAAAGAAAAGAAAAACCTGAGTGGTTAAGAACACTTTTTGCTCTTGTAGAATGCCTGAGTTCAATTCCCAACACCCACATGGACAGGCGTAACTCTCCAAAACTCTCCAAAAGTTTCTAAGTTTCTCCCTTAGAAACTGCAGTTCTAAGGGATCTGATGCTGCCTTCTGACTGTGAACACCAGGCATGCTTTGGTGCCCAGATGTGCATGTGGGAAACATGCATATAAAATAAAATCTTTGAACTATTCAAAACCTTAGCGCATAGGCCGTTCAAAAATAATATATCTATGCCTAGATGTCACCTCAAGTAGAACCCTGGGGGAGAATACTAAGCACTAAGCACCTATGTGCTTGAAGGCTCCCCTGGTTGGCTCTCATGTACCACAAGAGCCCTGTGCCATCCATTATGAAGGACAAGGCCTGCCTTTTTGATACAGCCTTAGAACCTAGCACATTGTCTTACTGCATGAGCTTTTATTTGCCAAAGTTTGTCTCATTTTAGTCTCCAGTGATAGCCCAAGGAAAATCCAAACCAATGAAATACCAGGGAATCTATTCTAATATTTTCCCACCCAGAATCCTTTGTGTTCCTGCCCCTGGTCACCTGTCATTTTCAGTTCACTGTGACCATTGTCACCAGATGAATTCCTGAAACACAAAAACGTCATCTTCATTGTTGAAAAGCCTTATTCCTCAGTTATCTAATAAATAACTAAGTCATTTAAGTCTACAAGTCTATACCCAGGACTGGAGACGTGGCTCAGCCAGTCGAGACCTATGTTCTATGGCCCAGTGTAGTGATGTCCGCATTAGATCCCAGCACTCAGGAGCAGAGGCAGACAGAGCTCTGTGAGTGTGAAGCCAGTGTAGTCTATACAACTGGTTCCAGGTCATTTTGGAGCTATACACTGCTCTTGCAGAGGACCCAGGTTTACAGGTTTGGCTCCTAGTACCCATGTCAGCTGTCTTACAGTCTCCTATAACTCCAGGTCCGGGTGGGTTTCTACACTCCAGTGATAGACGAGCTGCCTTGTGATGGACTTTTAACGTGGAAACCAGCTGTTCCATATGGACCAGACATTGACACAGTTGGCCTGCACTTCTCTCGACCTTGAACTGCGCTGGTCTGGGTGTGCTGTGCAGATCCTTCCCATCCTTCAAGTCTCCATTCTGGAGAGGTGAGCACTCCTCCTGTCTCCACGTCCCATTTCTATGGCACCAGCACTGTTCCCTTTGGGGGAGCGTATTAATGATATTTTACTATAGGTTTTAAGTATGAGGGTTAAAGAAAGAGAGGCACTCTCATAGAGAGGACAACACAGCCAAGAGCCAGGCTGTAGGCTCAGAGAGGAAGCTGCTGCACTCGCTGCTTTCTCTCGGATTGATTTGTTCTCTGTTTTGTTTCTCCACGAAACCAGATTAAACCCTAGTGAACAAGATGGCCTGCCATTGGGTGTTTTACCACCCTCCCCATCCCAGCACAAGATCCTGTCTTGGCAACAGCTTAGCCTGCAAGTAATGATTTAATGTATGTTTTTCACAAACTCAGCTTTAAAAAAATAGAAGTAGAAGGTCCAGATTCACACACAGAAGTAAATGATGTTTATAATTCCAGAATATTTTACAAGACGTTCTAGAATAAGAATTGCTTAGATTAGCTCAGCGAGCCATGTAAAGCTTGAAGAAAATTCTGAAATTACATCAATAACTGACAATTCACAGAAACTATATACTTTCAAAATATTAAGTGTTTGTATCAAATTGTTATCGTCTCAGAATTACCAAAATATATGTTTCTTCTTAGAGGGAAAATCAACTACTCACCCCTTCCCCTGCTTTTACTTGTCCCTCCGTCTACTATCTCCCCCCACATACATATGTACATCCTCAGACAGCACACCACACACACACACACACACACACTATTGTCTATGTGTTAGAGCCTTTGAAAGTTAGTTCTCTCTTTCAGATAAGATCTACATGGAAAAAAACACAAGCTAAAACAGTAATGCAAATTGTAGCAATTGCTACAATGTTTCAGTAAAATTGTACAAGAGAAGATGTGTATGCTATATTCGGTTGGACTGCAACTTCATCGCTGAATATTGTTAAAACAGAACATAGCTATCGGGGTCGTCTTCTGAACAGTTCTCTTGTGGACCCTGTGGACTTGATGGTGTTTCTGGGTCTTGATCTGCTTTGGCTTTTTCCTTCATTTCTGTAAAATCAAAACACAAAATAATAGATTCAATAAACAATATTGGCACAGCCTGTTACTCACTTGGAAGAGGGAGACCATGCTACAGACCTTGCACAGACATTTCAGCTAGATTAGATAGCAAAATGTCATGCCACTTCTCAGAAATGTGGGGATTTTGTTTTTTGGTTTTGGTTTTTGGAGACAGGGTCTCTCTGTAGCCCTGGCTGTCCTGGAGCTCTTTCTGTAGACCAGGCTGGCCTCATGCTCACAGAGATCCACCTGCCTCTGCCTCCCAAGTGCTGGGATTAAAGATGTGCACCACCACTGCCCAATGGGATTCTTTTTTAGAGAGAGTAGTATGTGCTGGTTTTGAAAGATTTATTTTTAAGTATATTTGTGTGCACCAGGCGTGTGCAGGACTCCTTCAAGGCTAGAGAAAGGCATTGGATCTCCTGGAACTGGAATTACAGGCACTTGTCACCATGGGTGCTAAAAACCAAATCTGAGTCTACTGCAAGAACCACTAAGCCCTCTCTCCTCTAGGCCAAGGTGGGTTTTGCTGGCTTGTTTTGTTTTACAGAGTCTCATTATGTAGCACCAGCTGTATGGAATTCACTATTTACGCTGACCTGAAACTCATGGAGCTCCACCTGCCTCTGCCTCTTCAGTGCTAGGATTAAAGGCATGCACTAGCACCCCCAGCTCAGGATGCTGTGTTTTCAAAGAGGGATGTCTCTCTCCTCTCTCCCTTTCTCTCTCTCTCTCTCAGTGTGCGTGCATGTGTGTATGAATGTGTGTTTGTGAGTGTGTGTGCGTGCGTATGTGTGTGGCCTTTTAGGGGTTGAGAAATGTCTGACTGCTTAAAAGCCCTGGGGCTCTTCCAGAGGACCAGAATTTGGTTTCAAGCAATAAAAACCAGCCAGCACAGTTACATAGTGAGTACTAACTCAGAAACCAAAAAAGAGCATTTTTGGCACATAATTAATCCTATTCCAGGTTTGTTTCTCTTACTATGGTTTCTCAAAATGGGTAAATAGAATTTCCAATCATTTAAATGTTTTGGAAATGTGCCAACAGAATGTTGGTTGACTAAAAAATACATTTTACTCAAAAGGATTCAGTGACAGTAACAGCTCCCATGGTGATAACTAGCTACTGTCAGCAGCAGCTTTAAATCACGAATCCAGAGGGAGTTGTTGCTATTCAAATATCCTACCTTGAGAGAAAGCGTAAGCACCTTCACTGTCCTGGTGGGCATGAGGGTCCTGTCCTTGGGCCCCACCTGCTTCCTGGGTTTGTTCTGGAAGGCAGTCTTTAAGCTCATCCCTTTCCTCACAGGTCTTGATAGAGAGGTCCTCAGGCCCAGGCACTTCATGGCAGGCTTCAGGTGAATACTCTTCAGGCCCAGGTGAGTCTTGGATTGTTTCAGGAGAGGAAACTGTAGGCTCAGTGGGTTTGTAGATCTCATGAGAAATGAATTCAGGTTCCGTTCCTCCTTGGCATGTTTTTAGAGAAACGTCTTCAGATACACTGCGTTCTGGTGTTTCAGGAAAGCAGCCTCCAGTCACAGCCAAGCCCTGATCTGCTTGGCAAGCGGTTTTCTCTGGTGTGACTGCTTTGGGGCATGCGTCAAGTGGGCAGCCTTCAGGCACATCTGCCTGGGGGAGTGCTGCGGGTGAGCATCCTGGGCCAGCAGCATCTCCAAGTGTTGTCCAGGGAACAACAGCCACCTCTTGATGTGTTTTAGGAGAGAGGACTTCAGGTCTGGCCACATCTTGGCACATTTTCAAAGTATGTTCTTGAAGCTCAGCTGTTTCCTGGCACATTTTAGGAGAGAGTGCCTCAGGCCCAGCCATACCTTGGGGTGCCTTGAAAGAATGGTTTTGGGGCACAGCTGTTTCCTGGCACATTTTAGGAGAGAGTGCCTCAGGTCCAGCCATATCTTGGGGTGCCTTGAAAGAATGGTTTTGGGGCACAGCTGTTTCCTGGCACATTTTAGGAGAGAGCGCCTCAGGCCCAACCATATCTTGGGGTGCCTTGAAAGAATGGTTTTGGGGCACAGATATTTCCTGGCACATTTTAGGAGAGAGCGCCTCAGGTCCAGCCATTTCTTGGGGTGACTTGAAAGAATGGTTTTGGGGCACAGCTGTTTCCTGGCACATTTTAGGAGAGAGTGCCTCAGGCCCAGTCATATCTTGGGGTACTTTTGAAGAATGATCTTGGGGCACAGCTGTTTCCCGCCACATTTCAGGAGAGCGCACCTCGGGTTCATCCGTGTCTTGGCACATTTTAGAAGAATGTTGAAGTACAACCATTTCTTGGCACGTGCTAGGAGAGAGGTCTTCAGGTTTGGCCCTCTGTTTGTCTGCTTGAGAATGGTTCTGTATTGCTCTCTCCTGGCGCACTTTAGCACAGTGTGGTGCAGGCACAGCTTCTGGGAGGCATGCCACCAGTGGGGGGACTTCAGTCACAGGCCTTACAGTGCACCCCATTTCTTCCTCAGCAGATACTTTCTGCATCCTTTCTGCCTGCACCTTTGTGCTTCTTTGTCTCTTTTGGCCTCTTGAATTTCCTTTTCCTGTTCTTTGATACTTGCGTTTTTTCTGTTCTCTGCAGAGAGACCAGAATGAATGTCAGCAACAGGGCTACAGGATCCAAATGGATGCTCCCAATACCTAACCCCTGTCCTTGTGGCCTTACTCTCCCCAGACTTCAGTCTCTGAGTTTGCAAAATGAACAGTCCTGAGAGTCCTTGGTGTTCACTTGCTAGGAAAGTGTTCATGCAGGATTTTATGGTTTTAAAACTAGAGTGTGTGTGCGTGTCTGCATGTGTGTGTGCATGTGTGTATATGTGTAATGGGGGAAGGGGAGGGGAGGAGCGAGAACAATCTTGGGGAGGTGGTTCTGAGGATAATGGGCTTAGCTGAACTCCATCTTCGGCACCTAGGCTCAACATGTCCTACAAAGCCTGCTGACCTGCATTCATTTGCAGGATCCATGTGGTGGGAGAAGAGAACTGACCCAGGATTCATGCGGTGGAAGGAAAGAACTGACTCCCCCAAGTTGTCCTCTGACTTCTGCATGCATGGATGCACCCACACCCTCACATTCTAAAGCAATAAAATGTAACTTAAAATATAACTTTACAAAATCGAGCTTGGATGAAGAGATGGATTAAGAGTTAAAAAGTAGCCGGGCGGTGGTAGCACACGCCTTTAATCCCAGCACTCAGGAGGCAGAGGCAGGTGGATCTTTGTGAGTTTGTGGCCAGCCTGGTCTACAAGAGCTAGTTCCAGGACATGCTCCAAAGCTACAGAGAAACCCTGTCTCGAAAAATAAAAACAACAAAAACAACAAAAAAAGTTAAAAAGTATATACTATTCTGGCCAAGGACTCAAATTCATTTCCCACCATCCACATGGGATGAATATAATGCCAGCTCCAGAGGGATCACATGGACCTCTGGTCTCTGGGTGCATCTGCTCTCATGTGCACGTGCACACATGTGCACACACACATAATAAATTTTTAAAATACAAAACAAAGCCAGTGAGATGGCTCAGGGGGTAAAGGAACTTGCCATCAAGCCTGATTCATCACTGGGACTTGCATGGCAGACATGACTAACTGAAAGTTGTGTTCTGACTCTAATAAATTCTCCTTCTCTCTAATAAAGTCATCATCGTCACCAAGGCCAGAGAGACGGTTCCGTGGTTAAGGGTACGTCTACACATGCAAGGAAAACACACAGATAAAATAAAATGCAAAGCTGGGTGTCGTGGCGCACACCTTTAATCCCAGCACTTGGGAGGTAGAGACAGGTGAATCTCTGTGAGTTCAAGGCCAACCTGGTCTACAAAGTGAGTTCTAGGATAGCCAGGGCTACACAGAGAAACCCTGTCTCGAAAAAAAGTCAAATAATAATAATAAAATTATTTCAAAGATACAAAAATATCTGAGTGGCCTAAGGTTTAGTCCATGTTCCCTCGTGACTAGGGCAAGTCATTCATCCTCTCCATTTCTTGACTACCTTATAGGTAAGATGAGACAAATAATACCTTCCAATTGTGTGTGGTGGCCGTAAGAATTACATACAACTTAGCTGAATGACTCACAAACACTATAAAATAGGACTAAGGCATTACCACAGGAGCCATCTCTAGGCCTTCCTATGTCTGAGGCACTATCCTGCCCTATTTCCTTCAGGCCATGAGGTAAAGGCTATTATCTCCATTGTGCAGAGGACAGTGAGGTGCAATGGGATCTTCTGTAAATTGCCCAAGGTCAGAGAGTAGGAAGTTGGGACGTCTGGGTGGTCATTTTGCTTATCAGCTAGGTCCTCCCCACCTGCCCTCTAATTTTAACATGCATGGACACTCTGCCTGCATGTCCATCTATACCGCGTGGGAGCAATGCTCTTGACGGCTGAGCTGTCTCTCCAGCCCCTTGTTTTCACGAGTCAGTATGTGTTCTCAGTAAGCCACGTGAGGTCTAAAAAGCCCAACTTCCAATCACATTCTCTCAAGGGCTGGGGTTACTCATATGCACTACCAAGCAGGCCTTATGCACCTTTTTTTAACACTAGCAGAACCAATAAAGGGCAGCATGAGCTACCCTGGTGAGCCAGCTTCAGTGGCTGGAGCCTACCTCAGGACATGGTGAAAACACAGAGAAAGAAAACGGGGGAAATTTCTGTTGCCGTGACTCTACTGCTGTGACATTGGGCAAGAGAGTAAACCCACTGGAGACTACATTTAAAACAAACAAAATAAAAC